CCACTCATAGTGGACCCATGTACAACAGAATAAAACACTGACTAATCCAGCACCATCCTCACAATTGTTGTTACATCTGAGCCCATCGTTGCAGCTCATGTGTTAATCAGCCTCACTGGGGTCATCATCTTTTTTGCTGACCCTCCACTGTATGAAGCATGATGTTCTTCTCCATGGATTGGACCCTCTTGATAACATGTCCAAAATATGAGAGGCAGAGTCTTGCCATTATTCTAGCTTCTGAGGAGCATTCTGGCTGCACTTCTTCCAACACAGATTGGTTTGTTCTTTTGGCCGTCCATGGTAGAAACAAACAAACAAAAAAACATACAGTGTCAAAGAAGGGAAAAGAAGGGAACAGAGATCCAGGTGGTGAGGTGGTCAGATAGATTTCAGGATAAAATATTAAATGGAGGAAAAAGTTAATAGAATATTATAGGGTAACTTCAAAGAAAATTAATGCTTCACTACATAGTAAGAAAATGAAAACATTAAAACTGAAGAAACTAAAATGAAAAAGCACATAAAACCAGGAACTCAGCAAAGGAAGGCATGCAGAACAAAGAAACCAGCAGCACCACACACGTAAAAACAAACAAGCATAATGACAGTAATTAATTCATACCTATTGATAATTGCACTGAATGTCAACGGATTAAATGCACACTAGTCAAGAGGCAGAGATTGGAAGAATGGATAAGAAAACAAGATCCTTCAATATGCTGTCTGCAAGAGATACAGTTATATACAAAGACAAAAACAGATTAAAAGTTAAAAGGATGGAAAAATAATACCAAGCTAATTGCAATAAGAAGCGTGCAGAAGTGGTAATACTAATCTCTATAAAATAAACTTTAAGGCAAAACCCAGCATAATAGATATAAAGATGGACATTATCTCATGATTAAAGGGTCAGTTGAACAAGATGACGTAACCATAGTAAAATCTATGCTCCCAATGAAAGATCCCAAAATATATAAAGCAAATCCTAATGGAATTGAAGAATGAAATAGACAATTCTACAGTAATAGAGGGAGATTTTAATATATCACTTTCGAAAAAGGATAAAACAACCAGAAAGAAACTCAACAAAGACAAAGAGGAAATAATGCAATCAATTAACTTGACCTCCTAGATGTTTGCAGAGCATTCAACCCAACAACACACAGTATGTATTTTTTTCCAGTGCACATGGAACATTCTCCAGAATAGACCATATGTTAGGCCACAAAACAAGCATCCATAAATTTACAAACATGAAAATATTTCAAAGCATCTTCTCAGATCACAAAGAAGACATAGTTGTGTAACCAAGATATACTAGAAAGACAAAGTCTATTTCGTCATGAGATTTGTAGTATTAGAAAGGAAGATTTTCAAGGAATGAATGTAATAATACCAGAATGATAAAGGAGTGAGAAGTGATGAATAAATAACAATAACGAGGCTAAAATGGATAAGAAAGGAGTATTACTGCTGGTTGTATTTTAAATAGTATTAAAGTTTAATTTGAAGTAACAGGAATTTGATATCAAATGTACAGAACATGCAAATATTTCCAAATTCTGGAGATGGTCATGTTGGTTTTTGGTCTTATAGTGAATAAGTGATATGTATGTGAGAACCAAGAAGACATAGTAGCACAGTGGTTAAAGCACTCAGCTACCAACCAAAATGTTTGAACCTGCTGGTCGCTCTCCAGGAGAAAGATGCGGCAGTCAGTTTGCATTAAGATTTATAGCCTTGGAAATTGTGGGGCATTTCTAGTGTCCTGTTATGGTCATTTGGACTTCTGGTATGGTGCTGTGGATCAGCACTGGACTGCATACCAAAACCCACCAGCTCCTCCTGGGAAATCCTAGACGGGGTACCTGTGAGTCAGAACAGACTCAGCAGCACTTAACAACAATAACACCAACATTACGGTTGTTATGATTTGGAATCAGTTTAAGGGAAGTGGGTTTACTTTTTGGTTATGTGTTTTTGTTACATGCCTTGAGTTAGTTCCAACTCATAGCAACCCTGTATAGGGTTTCTGAGGAATGTCTGGTGAGTTTGAACCACCAGTCTTGTGGTTCAAATTGTTCTTGAGGTCGAGTGCTTATCCTACAGCACCACATCAAGTGTTGTTGTAAAGTGCTGTCGAGTCGGTCCCGACCCATAACGATTAGGGTTTCCAAGAAGCGGCTGGTGAGCTGGAACTGCCGAATTGCAGTTCAAATGGCTTTGCAGTCTGGCGCGTTAACCCACAGTGCCACACCAGTACCAATAAATCCTTGGTTAACATTCTAATGTGTGCTACAAGGAAGCTTCACATCGCTTGTGGAGAAATTCCATTTTCTTTTAATCAGTTTTACATTCAACAAATCATATACTTTGCTTCATTTCAATGATTGCAATCTCCTCCATGTAACAACAGTTATCTTACTTCCTCTGTGATAATTTCCATTTCTTCCTCCTTCCCATCCTATCTCAACTTTGTCCTTAGAGAAATGTGGCCTTTTTGATCTTGAATACTTCACGATGAACATACCTTACTGGTGTTGTAGTTCCATTATCTGAATACCCTTTTCATTGAACTTTTTGAAGTCCCTTTATATAAGTAAACTAAAGTGGGGCATTTTATTTGTTAACAGTACTATTGACAATGTATTTTATTGTGAACATATCATGCTATTGTTTCTTGGATCTTAGCATTGACGTCAGCTGTTTGAATGAAGTGTATGGTAGGGTGGTTAGGTGCTGTCACTCTTGGACTATTTGAAACTACAGTGAGGAAAGGGGAAACAACGTGGTAAGGAAAAAAACAGGCTAACTAAAAAAACAAAACCGCAGGGTAATGAAGTGTGTACTACATGAAATTATGCTTTCACACCTTTATTTAAGGCATTTTCCTTGAGTCCCTTCTAATAGATAAACACAGTTTGGGAAAACCCCAGTATCTAGGTATTACATAGTCTTTTTTTCTTTTTTTAAAGAGCACTGTTTTATAATTGTGGGGAAGATAATGTTGATTTAGAGTCTTAGTAAGTACTTAAGAAAAAACACTTTGAATTAAGCACAAACTGTTCATTTGAATAGCCTTTAATTGGTAGTTTTGTGAGATTAGTTAGGATTATAGGAGAAAATAAATTAGAGTGATAACATCTATTCGTACGTATGAATTATTTAAAGTGTTTCTCCTTGAAAAAGTCACAGAATGCTGGGCAGGAGAAAGTTTAGCCTTCAGAGTTCTAAAGTTTGAAACTGCAGATTTGCTATTTTGATAGAAAAATAAAAAGTAGAGAAATTGGGATTTTGTTAAGTCTCATTTATTGAAAATTAAGTGACTTTCAAGAGCAACAATACCTGCAAAATCACTTTATTCTGTATTAGATTTCATCATTTCTAAAGGAAGATGATACAGAGGCACTAGAGCATAGTAACATTTTTTCTAGGGGTTCCCTTTACTATAGACTCTTTTATGTCAATTATTAATCCTTTCTGGGACACTTAAATTACATACAGATGGAGTTGGAATCCTGGATAACTTCATCTCAGTTACAAAAACAAAACAAACCCTTTCCTATAAAATAATATGGGCTTTAGCTAATAAAAAACAAAACAGATTTGAGTTTTTCTTCCTTCTTAATATTTCTGCCATTTATACTGTGAATTTTAAGACTCATGAAAGTGAGAAAGCATAGAATGGATTAGTTTTGTAAATGAAGTAAGTGTATTTGGAACTTAACATTCATTTATTAACTTTTTTTTCCCCTTGAGAAGCTAGAGATTTACTCAGGTTTTTCTAAGACTGTATGTACTTTGAGTTGTAACATTTCATAATTTACTTTATTTTGTGAAGATGAATGAACTGTTAAAATTTTGCAGGTCTCATCACAACTACATCTAGGAAACTAGACCGAGAACAGCAAGATGAACACATTTTAGAAGTAAGTGTTTATTAATTTTGAAATTATAAATATTATGGGGAAAACTATTTTGTTTACACGAACAGTATTGACAGCTATTACTGTCTTGTTCTATTTGCCTACATTTTGTTATGCTTGTTACATATCCCAAATACTAGGGAAAGGGAGAATGCTGGTGTGGTGATGCAGGATAAGCACTGTACTGGGAACAACAAGGATGGCAGTTCAAACCCACCAGTCACTCTCAGAAACCTGCATAGGTTCGCCATGAGTCAGAACCAATTCTGTGGCACAAAACAACAACTAGTATTGACAGTTGTTAGTATTTTATTTTATATGCTTTTGATTATTAATTAAAAACAAAAGTAATGAAAGCACTATGAATTTAGTTCACGTTTCCTTTGCTCGTCTCTTTCCATCCCAGAATGCACAGCTGCTATCTTGATTTCCATTCTAACTTATATACTTTATGCATGTATTGCATGCACATGTATGCATGTGCAGACACACACATAACACTAAACAGAATGTACATAATATTATTTGGGTTTGATTTTCATTTACAAAATGGTATTTTTCTTTGTACCCTGAATGTGATGGATTGACACAGTGGCAGCCACAGTGAGCTCAAACATAACAACAATTGTGAGAATGGTGCAGGACCAGGCAGTGTTTTGTTGTGCATAGGGTCCCTAGGAGTCAGAACTGACTGAATGGCACCTAAAGAACATTTTTCTCTAAATATTTGACAGCTTTTTTTTTCCTTTGTGTTAGGTTTTTGCAATATGAGTGTATTTGATAAATGTAGTTCAGCCCTTTTAGTTACAGTTAGCTTGTGTCTACTTGTGTTTTATTTTTGCTGTTTAAAAAACTCTTTTGCAATGTGTTTTATATTTGTTAAATTTCAAATAATGTAAATTTAATGCTTTTGTAAAATTTCTAACATAAAGCTAAATTGGGGTCTGATGTGTGCGGTATGTAGAAGGTTTCTTATATGATTTCTTATTTTCAGGATTAATTTAAAAGCTGCCCTTTTTGATCTTGAATAATTGACCAGTCCTATTAAACATATCTTACTAGTGTTGTAAGCATACCTTCAAGTCCGTACAAAAATCTAGCTTCTTTTAATCATTGGTTGTCTCCTTTCTTGAAGGAAAAGATACAGGAGTAGTTTGGAGAAGGTAGGTTAAGTGGACTAGGGATACCAGGCCCAAGAAGTTTATTGAGTGTCATTTCCTGCAGACCAGGAAAAGGCCAAGAGAAGAAGCAGCCTTGAAAAAGGAAAAGGGGGCAGAGCAGAACCATTATGTCTGCAGGCATTTCTGTTATCACACTTTAGAGGCTAGTGTTGATTGTAGAGCCAGACTTGGAAAAGATCATATCCATTTGTTTAATTTTAAGGTGTTTGTACATCTGTTTTGTTCTACCAATATGGATAAGTGGAAAAATTCTGTTTTTATTTTACTATTTAACATTTCCTTTATTTAAAAAAAATATTACTAGTATTCTTAACAATGCATGTTTAATTTCATATGCTTTTGGTCCTGATTTTCTAACTTTGTCAGTGAAATATCTCATTTTTATAGCTGTGCAAATATGTAAATGTGTGAATACCCTATATAGAAAAGTCTCATAGCCACAGCGCTCTCCCCAGTTAGTAATCTCTTTATGAGATTTCACTGTCTTATAGAGAAGTTTTCCATCATAATATTAGAAGCTGTGTCCCTGGCAACTGATTACTGAACCCAAATTTGAGAACCATTTCTAGATGCATAGTTCTTCTTGTATTTCTCTTACTTTTCTAAAAGTCATGTGAAAATGATCAAGAGGATTAGGCATGTGTAATAGTGCTTTGTAAATTGTAGAGTTTCATACAAATGTGGACTATCATTAGGACAAAGAAATTCATTTTTTATATAATATATATTATGTGTGTGTGTGTA